TAAGAACGTAAAAGACAGGTTGAAACCGCGTAAAGCACGAGAGATTTGAATATTCGATACCCCGAGTGCGGTGTGCCAGAAGCGAGTAGAATGAGGCAGTCGCGAGAGGACCCACATCCAGCGCATCGTGGCCAACCATCTTCCCCGCGTCTCCTGGGTGAGTGGCATGAGGCAGTCGCGAGAGGACCCGCATCCAGCGCATCATGGCCAACCATCTTCCCCGCGTCTCCTGGGTGAGTGGCATGAGGCAGTCGCGAGAGGACCCACACCCAGCGCATCATCGATGGCCAACCATCTTCCCCGCGTCTCCTGAGTGAGTGGCATGAGGCAGTTGCTAGAGGATCCACATCCAGCGCATCATGGATGGCTAACCATCTTCCCCGCGTCTTCTGGGTGGGTGGCATGAGGCAGTTGCTAGAGCATCCACATCCAGCGCATCATGGATGGCTAACTATCTTCCTCGCGTCTCCTGTGTGACTGGCATGAGGCAGTTGCTAGAGCATCCACATCCAGCGCATCATGGATGGCTAACCATCTTCCTCGCGTCTCCTGTGTGACTGGCATGAGGTAATTACGAAAGAACCTACACCCAGCGCATTATTCATACCTAACTATCTTCCTCGCGTCTCCTATGTGACTGGCATGAGGCAGTTACAAAAGAACTCTAATTCAGTGCATCAGGGGTAAGGTATCTTCTCCAGAATACTTTTAATAAGTAGTATAGAGTAGTTATAATATAATTCTTATCTAGCGCATTAGAGCTTAGCTTTCTTCTTCAGGATGTATTTATGAGTGGCATAAGGCGGAGACTATATAATTTGGAATTCAAAAGTTATCTGGCCGTCTAGACAATCACGCATTAGCCCCACTTATCCTGAGCACACGCAAATCTGACTTAGTCAGTACCGTAGGTACTTTCGTTTAGTTGCATCATTATATATCTACAAAACCACGTTTGTTTCATCAACACCAGTGCCCGACACTGTGCCAGAGTGGTTTAATGGGTGTGACTCGAATTCACAGATATCACATGGCTTCGGCCGCGCAGGTTCGAGTCCTGTCAGTGTCGCTTTCTTTTTGTCGATTGTTCATCGACCCCGCACTTTTCAAATCTCTCTTTTTGAACATCCGCATCTTCAATACCTCAACGTTTTCCGCACCAAAGCCCTTCCTCTCAGACGGCGACATCTTCTCAGCTTGGTTAATCCGCCATCTCGTCTCCTCCGACACGTCTCTGCTCAACTCACCCCCTGCTCGACCCATCATAATCCTCAATGTCTTGGGCATGCGAGACGTATTATCTACCTCGTCATCCAAATACGGGGTCTTGATTCCAAAAGGAAAAGCATATGTTGCAAACTGCACAGGTGGAATCATTTCGGCGTTCAGTGTACAGCAGTTTGTCGGTATGCCGTTGGGTCACGTTGCGGCTCGTATTCGCAGAGATCTTGTTGAGCAGGCGAATAGAGAGGCGGTGGAAGCTTCGCAGCGTGCCAGCCGCAACGGTCAGCAAAACCTTACGCCTCCGTCGGATCCGCAGATGGGGCCGGCAGCCTACGTGTTCTCAAACTGGGCAAAGGCAACGTTGTTTGATACAGATTTCAGCGCTGCTGTCGTTTCTGATGATGGTGATGAGGGTGGGTTGGCTAGTAGGCCGACCAGAGGAAAGCCTATGTATATCAGTGTCAACGGTCACGATAGACGGGTGGACGGTTGGGGTAAAAGCTCAGGGGGCATTGGTATGTGTGTTGGTAAGGATGCTAGGGGTGGGTATTGGCTTGGAGCAATCACCCCAGCAAAGGAGTATGCGGAGGAGTTTGAGAAGACTGTGTTGAGCGATGTCTAGGCCGTTGGGCGGGTCACCGAGATGGATAGCGTCACCAGCCTTGTTACTTCGGAATTGGCATCACAATCTGATAGACATCTTCGAGTAGAATATACGGTAGGTGTTGCATTAGTTGAACGCAGAATTATTTCGTTCAATGACTACAGAAACTCCGACCCAGTTGCGCCATTCGCTAAAGTGAAAACTCATGAGAATATAATGCATCAAGGGCTGGACTGATGCACTATGGGTATACGTGTGTGTTATTCGTGGGGATTGGTGATTATGTGTGGGCACACCTTCGTGCCTCACAACCCCCATGCCTTTTTTCTAACGGAACATCGAGCGGTTGGAGAATCTAGTAGCGGACGCCATCAGCGGCGGCCTCGGTGTGTGGCTGAACGGCCTTCTCGTGTTCGAGCCTGGCCTTTCGGCGGTGGTCCCTAATCTCGTGGAAAGAGGCGGTGATGGCATGGAGGAGTCTGGCAGCCAGTTAGCAGATGATTCAGGGATTTGAGCAGCGGAGAACATACGTGCTGATAATTGCCAAGATGAAGGTGCCCCACGGCAGGTTACAGCTGTCATCACGGCGCGCGGTCGCGCCAGTAACAACACCAGTATTGCCGTTGGCAATACGCTCCGGGCTGTAGCAGTGACGAGCACCAGCAAGACCTCCGTTCGGTCGCGTAAGCACAGCCACTGCGATGAATGCTCCAACAAATGCAAGGTCGAGAAGTACCCAGATCCATCGGAGTACTCGACCGCCAGGGTTCGCTGACTTCTTGATGCAAGAAAGTAGGATCGTGATCAAAGTATACAGCACGGCGGCGGCAAGAATGCCCTCGACTGCACCATAGCTGCCGTTGATGCCGCGATAGGTCTTGACGCTGTTGACAAGGCGATACACCTTATATAAGCGTTGAGAAAAGATGCCGAGTGAGACCACAGAGCTGATGAATTGTAGGAGGCGTGTGAAACGTAGGAACCAACGGTAGAAGGAAGTGTTCTTGAGCTTGTCCGGCACAAAGCCTAAAGATGGGTGTACGCAGTCAGTATATGTCTCACATCCAGTTCATGGGTAGTTACTGACGCGTAAGAAGACCTGTTTGCTCGCGCTTGTCGGTGACTGGGTAGTCGACCGGACCGTCAATGGGCTCCTGGGCGTGCACCATGTTGATATGCTGGGTGTCGACGTGGATGGTATTGATGGATTGGTGAATTCTGCTGAATGCTGAAGATGAGGGCAGCGCGAAGATCTACTATCTTATAGCTTTGAGGATGGGGTGACAGCGATGTGACACAATGACCAGGCCCCTCTTGCCCGTTTGACACGGTCGTCACTCACCGTCACCGTCAGCTTCGGTACCAGCCCCCCGCATCCAAATTAAACCTGGAACCGCGGAGATTTTGCTTAGGCTTGATGCACGGCAGTGGCATGTTGCCTTTGCGCTTCTACGGCGCGTCATGAGATTGGATAGCTTTGAACAACAAGCCACGATACAGGCGTGATTGGTGGCTGAGAACCAGCGCACGTGACACCGCTAAAGCAGTGCTAACCTGTTGCAGGCAAGTACGTCACTGAAAATCCCCATGCTTTTTCTTGAACGTGATTTGGAAATCCCATGCATGGGAAACCAGTTCCATGCGCGTCACAGCCTCGTAGATCTCCAATGGCATTTCCGTCGTGGCTGCCGAATCGCTCGATTCCTGAGCTGATCATCGTAGAATGACGAGCCACATTCGCGGGCGCTTGCTTTTTAGAGGCGATCGCGGTGAAGCTTGTTTCTGTGGCTTCAAGCTATAGGCGAGCTAAGGTTCCGTTAACCGATTCTCTCACGAAAACCAGATTGCGCGAGCATAGGGTGAACAGAATACGTTCCTTGATTCATACGCAAAAGCGTTCAGAAGCGGTTGTGCGACGAACTTCTGCATGCTCGCCCTGCCAAACTTGTCGAGCGCTACTCGCATTCGGATCCAAATGCCAACACTGCATCGCTTGGTGCTGTCCTGATGGGGAGTTAAGCCTTGCGCCTGATACCGTCAAACATTTGGCATGCATCCTAGCTCCATCTTCCTGTCATGTTCGTCGTTGGCGACTTCAGACCGGTCGCTGCCAGCTCTTCAACATCCACTCCTCAATGGCTCCGCTCCTGGATGATATTTGAACCGAAGTAAGAATGGCTGTTCCCCATGATTTACATCACCGTCTGGGTGCGGCTTTGTATGCCGAGTAATAGTTATGTGTCGGGTGAAGAGGCCGTAACCATGATGTCGAAGATAAGCTAGTTGGCATGATCTGATAGGCTGGGCATTGCTGGTGTTTGCGTTCAGGAGGGATTGTGAGTTCCACATAGCGTTGCCTTGCGGTACAGCTTGGCCGTTGTGTCATACCACTGTAGTCAATTCTCTTGACAACTTTCCATCAAAGTAAAATTGTATCTTTCCGATCTTTTTCGCTACTTTCCCCGTACCATACAGTCGCTCATCGATGTATTTGTACAATTCGCGAAGGTAGGTTTCTGACTTTGCGAAGTCCACTGGGTACAGCTCCTTAAAGTCCAGATGTGCCAGACCTTGAATCTTACGGAAAGGTATTTCTGCAAGACTGATCTCTTTGTTGCCGTTTCCATACCTCCATGTATCAATATTGATAGTCACAGTGTCAATCCGAGTAACAGGTATGTTCCGGCCATCATCTAAGTCCTCGTCCAACAGTGGGTCGACCCATGTTTCCAAACCCCGGAAAACTTGTGATCGATGTCTTTTCGGACTATCATCGAGTAAGAAGCGAGCCAACGGGAACGACAGTCCTCCGGCAAGAAGCAGCCACAAAGTGGACAAGTCTGCTGGATTCCGGCCTTCGAGATCCCAGTCCGTCTGCAGATGCCGTCTATCCGTGGTACAGCACGGGATTATGTTGATGGATAATCTCTCGATGGTTCCTTCAAGCTCGCGCACGGGAATAACGCGCCGTGTCGGCCAGAACCAGTGGTCATCAATAACTGCGATATCGACCTCGAAGTTCCGCAGCGCTTTTGAGAGATATTCTTTGGTCTCGCGATACATTCGTTGACTGGTTAGTAGAAGGCTTGAAACCCCTGAATCCTTCAAATAATCCAGGCTCGGTACACAGCAAAGATTGCGTATGCCAGTTGGATAGCTGGGTCGATGACGCGTGCCATTCTTCGGTAAAACAGTAGGTGACGAGAGCACAAGGTCGATGATGTTGAAGACCAGTTCGCTCGGTAGATCTAGAAAGCCGACCATAGCTGCTTGCTGGTAGAGGCCGCGACAAGGTTGGGTGAGGGAAGGTTGCATGGGTTGTTCGCGATGCCTGCGCAGGCAGGTACCGCAGCCCTGAGGCGCAGGCGCGGTTGACCCCACTTGAGCCTCGGGCCGATGGAAGCTCTCCCACACAGCCATCAACTCGCCATTGCCTGAGAACAGGCCCGACTTTGTTTGAGTCACATTGCGATGCGCTCAATGCTGTTACACATACCATCACATTACAGGTTCGACTGCGCGCAGTCTCGCAGCATCGCACCCAGCCCTGAAGCCAGAGACCGCTTCGTTTTGGTTAGCGCGAATGACTCACTTTTGCTCACTCTGCCTGCGCCTCGTGCATGAGGCTCAACAGCCCCGGGAGTCATATGTATCGCCTGATCGGGAAGCCTGCTGATTCACGGAGTGGAGTAACGTGTTTGAGCGTGTCTCTTGTACAAGACAAGACATATAGATCGCTGTACGCTCACAAGAGATCAGCATCATTAGACATCAGAGTCCTTTCTGACATACTCGACATACCCCTTTCAATTGTTTTCGCTGCATCTTGTTTTGCTCTTAGACATGGCGGCTACCGACCATGCTCCTCTTCCAGCGCGGATATCAACGACTTCATATGATACAGCGTTGTGCATCATCCCACCCGCCTCTCAGTGCGGTCACGTAGATCAGCTGCGGGAACTCTACGATAAGGCCTATGGGAAGGTGAGTTATATATGTCCTGGATTCAGGGAGAGCACACGTTGACTAGGGTCTTTAAAACTTTTAGTGGCCACCTCACGTCAACCTCGTGTACCCTTTCGTTGCACCAGAGCAGCTTCCAAAAGCACAGGAGCAGATTCAAGGGTACTTGGCACAGCATTCAACCCAAGAGACACCTATCGATGTAGAACTGGTTCAAGCGGGTGGTTTCGTGCAAAAGAACAACTTCACCGTATTTCTTGGTACCGATGACCGTGGTG